AAAACTAAGGAAAATCTAAGACAGGAAGTGAGGCATATAAGAGAAGCTTTGAAACTGAGAAACTACCCTGATAATCAGAAAGTATGTAGGGAACTGGAAAAATAAAATAAATAATAATAGTAGTGATAGTGGTAATAATATTAATGACGACATGCATGTCAAATATGCGCAGGATAATGACAACACCAACAATAAGGAATCTAAATCATCAGTAGTACTTCCACACAAAGACGGAACCACGGAAACCTTACTCAAAATTCTTAACAAGGCAGGGATAAAAGTGATTGGCATTCAAACCAATCACAAACTCAATTGGAAACAAGCATTGTCGGTTAAAGAATCCTGTGAAGCCTTTAAAACAAAACAATTTAGTCTATCTAATACCCTGCCTGCAATTATTGTCAGGTCACATACATAGGTCAAACTAGTAGAACAAGGGCATTCAGACTAGCTGAACATAAAAACCTAGCAAAATCTAGATTGGTTGACCCGACTAAGCTAAGAAATCTGGAGAATAGTTCAGCTATAGCACTACATGCAGTTACACACAACCATACAATAGGATGGGATAAGATGACAGTTTTAAAATCTAATGTGACAGGGTGGAGGGAGAGATTGATAACAGAAGCTTTGTTTATCGAATCAACTGCAAACACGTGTAATAGGAATGATTCAACACCTGTCCCAGATATCTGGAAAATTCTACTACCCCTACGACAAATAGGGGAGGACAAAGAAAACTGTAAAACTCAGATTTCGAAGTCGTGTGTTTATAATTGATACGATTAAGAACAATAAATTGTGTCCCAATCGTCATCCAGTAAATAATACTGTTTCACTGTGTGATACATCTAATAAACAAACTAATATGGAATAAACTGCAGCACAATAAATCAACCAAGATTACAATTAAACGACATTAGGTTTTATCAAGACAATAATTAATTGTATGGTGTGAATATGGAATTGCATAATTACAGTATTATAAAGCTTTTTAGATAGTTCTCTAAAAAGTATATGTCATTTCATCTATTCAAATGTCCACTAAGTTGGACTTATCCATGTTCGATTTAGTTTAGAATGTAGAATTCTACTTCTTTAAATCCCTTGTCTGACAAATATTTTATCCCTCAGATCACCGATAGACACTCCACAATTCCAGTAGAGATCTCTCCATAAATTTAGGCAATTATCCTTGTCTGTCAACAGTCTCTCCAATTAGCAATATCTGACAGATAAACATCATGGAAATACTTTATAGAACACCATAAAGACTTTGGGAAGCGAGGAGACAGGAATTCAGTGGACCACCGATAGGAAGATTCTAGAATATTTCGCAGATGATATATGTCTAATGTCACACAAACTCGAAGACTTGCAGACGAAAACCAACAAACTGGCTGAAGAGGTAGCGAAAACAGGACTGTGGGTGAAGACAGAGAAGACGGAGGTGATGAAGATAACCAATCACCAACAACGGGAGATTCAGCAGAGGTTATCTCCTTCACTTATCTGGGAAGCATCGTTTCAACTACAGGCCAGCGGAACGGACGAAGATGTCAAAGTCAGAATTGGAAAGGCAGATACGTCTTCATCAACCTGAAACCAGTTTGGAAATCCTCTGCACTAACTCAGCCAACATAAAGAACAAGATTCGGATTTTCAACACAAATGTGAAGTCAGTCAGTGCTTCTATAGGGGTCAGAAACTTGCACTGCGTGTCACGAAAAGGATTTCCAACAGGCAGTTGCAGACTTTTATTAACAACTGCCTTCACTGTCTCCATAATAAAGATCAAATGGTCAGCCGGTCAGAAAGAATTAGTAACAAGAAACTCTGGCAACAACCAACCAAAAGCCAATTGCTCAACAAATATGTAGGAGGAAATATAGATGGATCTAGCATACAGTGAGGAGACCATTGAATGACATCGTGCACAATGTAGGCCATCGCTCAAGTGGAATCCCGATAGGAAGCGACGAGTGGGTCGTCGGTGCTAGGGTGACATGGACATCGTGTGGCAAGGGTGGGGAAGAAACAAGAGATTATGGGCAATCGTGGACCCAGCTGAAGAGGATAGCAGAAAATAGAAGAAAGTAGTGATGTGTTGTTGACGCCCTATGTTACACTCGGAAGCCAAGGGAATAATAATAATAATAATAATAAAGTTTCTGAATAGACGGGTTCTTCTGAAATCGTTCTTACTGTGAATGCTTTTCTGATGGCCATAGTAACATCCGTCTAGAGAAATGAATTAACTGTTTGCTTTTTAACTGCAAAACACTTATCACTGATTAGTAGACTTTTCAAACATAAAAAGAACTACTAGATGTTGTCTCGGCAGTGAAACGTCCAAACAAAAATCAATATAACATAAAGTGATACGTCACTTATAGAATATCCGCGAACCATGCACGTACACTGGGGTTCGATTATCAATTGACGATCTCCTAAACCTCCCCTAGCTGAGGGGAGGAATGAAAGGAAATGGCAAAGTTCTTACATGCCTTGAAAATTGAAGTCAAAAAAGGTTTTTGAACAGACCATCTGCAACCGACGCTGTCAAAGATTATACAAATAAAGAAGTACAAGCTGAAGCTATGCCGGATTAAACACATTTCGACGGTTCTACAAATGATAGCGATTTCCTTTCAGTTCACCTATTATATTAAAACAATACGATTAATGCAGGACACTAGAAAATACTATAGTACTATAACAAATGTAGTGAATAAGTAGTATCCAGGTTTTATTACAGGTGAATTGATGTTACACTTCATCATCCATTTGTTTGAGTGATAGAATTGTTATTTCTTCAACACTTAAACCTGTTGCTTAAAATGATCATTCTGAAAATTTTGTAGAACTTAAAATAAAACATTTAGCACATCTTACATACGTTGCTGACTAAAAATCGATACTAATATTACAAAACCATAAACCTAACCTAACTATTTCCATACAATATCTTGTGGAACAGGTAATCCGCAGTTTATGAGTTATGATATTGCATCTACGTTTATTTTTAAGATTTATAATTACACTCATACAATGCTATAGTTACTTTCGATCCTTACAGTAGATGGCCAAAAGTAGGATCTATACAGTCTTAATATACAACCCACACAGCAATCAGAAAGATTTTACTACACAAGGGAGAGACTGATTTCCTAGACACTGATATGCGACGTGGCGTGTGCTACTGATGAGATCTATCAGTAGTATATATAAAGAAAAGTTCATCGGCACGAAAATTATCAAATAGCAGAGAGATAGATTTTATGTCAGAGAAAGCAAAGTGATGAAGAAACTTGGCATACATATTCATGAGGATAATCTACATACAGGATGTGGAAGTGCGTGGGTAACTTCCAGATTCAGTATGGAAATCCAGAAAATAGAGACCACTCATAGAAATTCTGTACTCTACCAGTATGGTACTCACCAGACACATAATGACAATGAATTCATCAGCTACAATACTGTCAGAGAAATGATTACCAGCTACCAATGGAAACTGTACTGTGAATAATAGGAGAAAGAATGGTACATATCATATGTCTAAAAGGTGATTCGATTCTTAATTTTTTAAATAATACTGACAAACAGGTAAATAATCTCGACAGAAATATTAAAAAGTAATCAGTGGAATGCCAGAAACCTGTTAATGAAATAAACGTCCATTATATGTATTCAGGTGCAGTGAATGACCGACCATATTTACCACTTTGGTTTTGAGCGTTCTAAAGTTACTTTTTCTCGCTTTTGAAACTATTATTATCACATATCACAAGCCAGTCACCTATAGCACTAATGTGAAGATCAAACGTATAGTTTTAAATAGAAAAGAAGGTCAATACATGAACTCCTACTTGATAAGGTCAATACAGCATATGTTACGTTTGCTGAGTGATTACTTTGCTAAGAGATATTATGCCTCACTGCTAATGCATATCATTTGAACTGCCCAGTTAAGGTCTTCATGATGTTAAGTGTTATTAGTTGATCCTAAATCGTTCAAAATCCTGAACATCATAACCTATCATCATTTAATTATTGTCTCTAATTCTACGTTGACTTTATCTACTAAAGTAACGAAGCCGAATTTACTTTTGTCTGGTGTTGAGGATAGGATATCAGAAGAGACTTTCTTGTGATGAAGTAATAGACATTGTGGTAGATCGACTGCACTCAGATTATAGACTCAAGTGTTGCAGCCTTTTCAAACGAAGAAGATATCTGACCTGTTCATGTCATTCAGAGTCATAGAAGATCAGAGAGTGTAGTACTTAATGAGGATACAGAACCCTATTCATTCAGTACAGACGCTCAGGGATGCGATGACCGATATCATGCCAATGGAGAGATGAATGTGCGCGTATGTGAAACAGGTGTTAGTGTGTTTGTGTGTGTAACGATACGCTGTCAAGTATAATGCCTGTCATTAGAAATGTGGGTGAAATTTTTTCAAAGGAGAAACGATTAGGTTGTCACTTTATCGAAACACAATGAGGATCCGCGAAAGGAGGTGGACTAGTCAAGAAGCAGTGTCTCAGAACACATCAAGCTGCTGTAAGATGTTTTTATAGACCTGAAGAGGAAACCGCTGGCTCCCCTGTAAAGCTAGGTGAGGTAATTCCATTCACCACATACGAAAGTGAATGCTGACCAAGCCAACATGGTGATTGAACTGACTGAATATATAAACGGTTTGAAGTCTGTTTGCGTTCGCCTGTCAACCACCGACCAACACCAGAGAGGCACTTCTGTGCAAGTTGATTCCACGTTAATCTGTAAGTCAGACATTCATTGAAATTAACTTTCAAGGATTTATCTACAATTCTTAACTAACAGAAATTCAAACTACTGAAATGCATATGTTGACTAATAGCAATAGCAAACATAAAAAAATAAAAAAATAAATATTATTGAACAATTATCATTATTTGTATTTTAAAATCAAAACAAACTCATAGAGTTCAAAAAGAAAAGGAAACTAATCCACTTGACAAGAAGAAAATATTCTACCGTCTTTACACAATTACTCATTCAACAAGAATATAATACGTCTAGTACAAAATAAAAAAGAGATTAAACTGATTGAAAGAATGTGATCAAGGATAAAAACAAAAGGCTTTTTTAAAAAAAAGTAATAAACAAATATATAAATATACTTTACATATGACATTATATAATGACTAATCTTCAAATAATAATAATAATAAAGGAAGAAAAGGCTGCTAAACAATAAGGCTATATTAGTAATTTAATAGTTGAAATTTTGCACAATAACACACACACACTATTAATAGTAATTAATGATGGTAGAAAAACTTAGTTGACACTAGTGGAATATCATTAGCGCAGACAAGATGGATTTGTGAATTACTAAATGTTTTATATTCATTTATCTGAAGTGATGGATCGTAAACAAAACGAACAGCACGTGTTTGAACTATCGGTATGGGGAAATATGATGCTGCCTAGACAATGAAAGAAAAAGAAAAAAATAGAGGTTTCATTCGCACAAAATTAGGTTTCAGCCAATGAACACAATCGAGTATTACTGTGTCAGTGTGTTTCTATTTGATACACTGAAATCTAAATTACATAATTGACCGGTAAACACTTCTCACAGTTAAGTAGTTATGTTGCTCAAACCTTGAACCATTGAAAAACAGCCGTGCTTCGTCCTGGTTTGCGACTCATCAGTAGTATGCATCCACCGGGTTTTCAATTTAGACAGTTGGAAGTAGTCCGTAGAAAGGTCTGAATGGCTTGAAGGCCTATGTTCCACCCGGAAGGCAAAGTGATAAAATAAAAATAACAAACTACCATTGCAACTCATCTTCAGTTGTTCCAACGAAAATTCTCAACCAAATAACTATAATATCACAGTCAACAACAACAACGGTATTAAATAACTTCAAAAATTGTAGTTGTTCACTGTTGTGAACGGTAAGGAGATTATTCAAACCTCTATTTCAACTCAAAAAACACAATACGAAACACCATTTAATTCATTCTGTATGCGTAACAATTAAATTATTTACTACATTCAAACTAAGAAATAAACTAAACTAACAAATGACAGTGGATGTTTCTTCAGGCATTATTTACCTATTTTTGTCGAACACAGTATATTACACAATTGTACACTTTTAAGACCCAGTGTGAATAGTGATGATCTTGGTGTAATCACAACGTTCGTTCACCATAATCGATAGATGCTATTACGTGTATATATTATTATTGCCTTAGGCTTTGAGTGCAGCATATAGCTCCAACAGCATATATCCACTTCACTATGTTCTCTATTGTCCTTTTTGGCGGACTCTACGACTGCTCATAGGCTGTCACCTCCTCATCACACGAGCCCCTCCATGTTACCCTCAAAGCCACACGCAACTCGTCGTTTTCCATTCAAGTCCCACTCTAAGGTCAGTCAGCCTGATGTGTAATTTCACTGAACAGTTACCTCAGCATATGTTCAATCCATCTCCATTTACTTGTCGCTAATCCTATCTGGCTAGCTGATCTTCAGTATGGAACGAAGACAGCTATTGATGAGATTCGGCAGCCTGTTCACAATGTTTTTGACGATTATGCACTGAATATCTGAACTATATAGAAACACTAACTTGACATTTGTATTGAAAATCCAAATTTTGTTGTTTACGCTTCATGTACAAGTGTGTATAAAATTCATTAAAGACAGAGGAAAATGAGGCGAATGTATGCAAAATTTAATCACAATAAAAAATTTTAGAAAAATATCTTCTAGTCGTAATTAACAAATAAATATATAACTAATGCTCTAGCTAAGAATATAACAACGAAAAAACTACCTCTTTATCATTTGAATTCAAATGAAGAAAACTGCAGGGAAGTGTAGACGATGCTGAAGGTCTTACAGCATGATTAGGATCATTCACCGATGTTAAACGAATAATTTGACCATTAGGGGAAATAATCGATCTGTAGGTTGGTGAAATAATCCTATCCAATAACTTGAAATCGATTGATGGATATACATTGAACCATAAGGGGTCGATAGGATTTTCTGTTGTAATCTAGATATTAGAAGTAATAAGATTTATCAATGGAAATAAATATAGTGTACTAACAAAATAATGAAGCAAAACTTTTACATTTGACAAACAACCCTACATTCAGAAAGTTTCTTAAATGAAAAGACTACTACATAAGTGTTTCTACATTAGTACTAGCAAACGTAGTGGTTTATTGTCATTATTTTTGATTGTAAAATTAATGGAAAACACCATTTGCAATTAGTTGTGTTCTCTGAGCTGGTGGTTGGTTTAATTACGGAGCTTTAGTCGTCCTTCTAGACAACATCTTCAGCGCAAATTTTAGCATCGAATGAACTGATTTAAATTTCCCATGAATGACAGAATTGCGTTTCCTGGTAACCATCTTTGTGACTGGTAGTCGATTTGCCTCTGTATTGATCATTTTTTACTGACTTGAATTTCGAACTTTCTCATCACATGATTTACTTTTTATTAGTTGGTGGTAAATTTGGTCTATATTAACATGTTTTTTAATCGCATATTCGCATGAGTACCAGGCTTCTAAGAATTCTCTGTCAATTTTTGGTATTTCCTCTGTTTAAAATGTTGACATTATCCCAATCAAAATGATGTTCATAATTATCCACATGCATTGATATGAAACGGGAATATATATCATGTCTTTTCACAGCTAATTTGTGTTCCTGGATTCTGATTCGAAGGGGACGCCACTTTGGTCGATGTAAATCATTCTCATGAATGGGCAGAACTTACAAGTGACCATAATTGAAAAAAAAACTAAATTCTACAGACTCTAACTCACACTATATCTACAACGACCTCACATGCTTTTGCATGTGTAGGTATATTTGGGTATACATAATAGAATGTTCCAATTCAGTCCGAAAGAGAGGAAACCTTCTTTCGTTCCTTCCTTCAGATCATAAGCAGCAATCACGAAAACAAGCACAGATGTATGATGCTGTATACTGTTGACAGTAGCTGAACACCACTCACATCAACCAGCAGTGTTTGCTAGTCGGATCGAAAGGATCTACACATCGTACTGAGTAAATTGCAAATTGCGGATTTGATTTAAAGTATTATCAGTTCGTCCAAGTTGCTGGGCACACAACTGATGAGCTCGACTCTGATTTGAGAGAAACAGCCATCGTCCAGTGTTTAAATCACTTTAATATGGCCAGCAGGCAATATTGGTGGATGTGACTGGTATGAGACTACTCGTTTTTATCAGTCAGTAGTATGTATCGTCATCCACGTAAATAAGTGATTTGAACATCACACAGAATATTCGAAATGTGCCTAATCTTGATCAAAGTTCAGCATATCATTACAAGATATTTATGAGTGATAACGGATAAAAATAATTTCTTAAAAATTTCACACAATTTCAAAAAATATTATTAATGGCGACGGAAAAATTCACGATTAATTACACGTTTCCACATTATACGAAGAGAAAGTAAAGTGTCAATCTGCGAGTAGACTGAACTGTTTACCGTGTTATATTTAAGAGATTAACGTGGTTTGATCTCAAATATTAAATATTGTCAAATATTTCATTAATTCCATCGTAAAAGTAGGGAAATTATACCTTCTAAAGTTGAATTTCTCTAAAGCGATAAAAACCAGTGGTGTCCATCAGATATAGATCTGCTAATGGACGGAATACTGATCAACTTTACCGATATGGGAATTGATTCGTTAACGAAGAATAGTCTCATCGATTAAAAGTATGCAGACAATATTATCTTTGACGAAATGCAGAGTCCGCTGAACACTTTGAAAAAAATCCTTATATGGTTGTCATGTGATTCGCTCGTCAAATGTAAGACAATAGTACAGGACTGATTGGCACCAACTACTAGTTGAGCACGTTGACTTCACTTCTTTGGAGAATTTCACAGACCCTAGTGAACTGACAAAGCTAACTTGACGAAATTTCAGCATACATACAAACGGCACGTTCAAAATTTTATAACTTACACCATCTTCGGAGTAGATATGATATCCGGTTATCGATCGATGGATGTGTGTATTGCGTAGCAGTTCGCTCTGTCCTTCTTATAACTTAGATGTGGCCACTGAAAGTAGGTGGAAGGATGCTAGCTGTCTCTGACCACAGGTGTTTATGTCGTATCTTTCATATTAAGTGGTACGACATTGTCAGTAATACTGAGGTTAGGCGTTGAGTGTTTGCTAAGGAGGGCAAGTCGATCGGTTATTTTGTGAGTTTACACCGATTCAAATGACTATGACACGTTACAAGCCATCATCTTCCTTATTTAGCAATGTTAGCTGACATATGATTGGATTAGAAAACAGTTAAGGGTGATCAAAACAAAACAAAGAATCAACTAATTAAGCCTTTCAATGTTCGTCTCGGCCACATAGACAGATGTAAACTGTCCGACTGAGATCCTCTATATTCTAAAAAATCAATGGTTGGAGACCATGGAGACCAATCGTGATGTGACCAAAGATTTGTCTAATTCAGTCAATAAACTACGTATAGAAGACTTCTAATGAAAACTGAATTATGAATTGATTTCCACTTTCTTCATTTTAAGATGTATTAGCCGAAACTACAGGACATTTCCCCAAAAACATCTATAACACTTGAGAAGTAGGATCATGTGAAATCCCTGGATAATGAAAGGCATTTTTATCTGCAAGAGCATAGAAACCTCCAGATACATGTTTCTTATTCGTGGAAGTATGGATAGGTATTATTATTCGCTGAGCAATTAATTTTTTTCAAAACGTTAGACTACTCATTAGTAGTTCGCGTAGAAATACAAAAGTTTTTGATAGGAAAAGTGCACCCAACAATATTATATTTGATGCCAAAGACAAATTAATGTCATTAAATAATCAGAAATAAACTTGTAAGCGGACAAGGCAATCCGTATCACTGTAGATATCCTTTTAAAAGTAAAATCCGATGGTACATTTTATACACATGATCTATTCTACTGAGTTCAACGAAATCATATAAACGCATCGCTAAAAGGAATTAAACTGAAAAATGATGAATATTATTTTTATACTACACAGGGTCATTAAAATTAAATCACTGAAAATTTATAGTGTTGCTAAGGTGAATTTAGAAATGACATCTCGTAGTGGACATTATCCACCTTAATTGAAATTGGAAATACTGAGGACAATAAATAATGGAGTTATACTCTACCACAGTGCCCAAGTTTTATTCTTATATCGATAATAAACTCAAATGGCGAAAACA